ATCCTCAAGAGCAGGAGGATTGTGGGAGGTGGTGAGGCTTGTGTTTGTGTGAGAGGCTTGTGGGAAGCCGGTGGTGGCAGTTGGGCTCTGAGGGTTTTTCCTGAGGAGCTGTTTTGTTTGGCGTGTGTGGTTCTAAAAATAAAGTTCGTTTCTTTTGACAWGTGGCTCCTGAATCGTGCCCAGCCAGACTGTGGCAAAAGGCCATAAATAATTGGTAGAGGCAGTGTTAAAAAGAAGACTAACAATACAAATAACCTAGTATTAACAAAACATTTCTTATATACTATAAGCTAAGGATATGTTAAGAGATATTTACATACAGTTTATTTCATTTAACCTTCTCAACAACACAATTAAGATGCCCTGTACTGTTATTTATTCTGGAGATGAAAACTTCAAAAAATTTCACAAGCTTTACACAGCCAAAACACAATGGGAACAAACTTGAATCCCGATGACTCCAAATACCACCCACATAACTATGTAGTGTTAATATCAAAAGCAGTACCAACCAATAATTTATTGAGCAGCAGGCCTGAGAGGAAGAGGTTGAAAAAACTCCAGGGTTCCCAGCTCAGAAAAGTTGATGGGGTCATCGTAATCTAGTTTCCAAGAAAAGGAACACAGGAAGTTGGCTTCAGTGGGAATTCTACATCCTGAAGGAGATAACCAGTTAATACGTGGATTTATGTGTCTAAAACTTAAAAAAAAAAAAAAAGTTCTACACTAGAGAAGGAGAGATGAAGGACTCATTAGTGTGGGTGGTGGCTGAAGAAATGAATGTGCATGACCTTTAATAGAAAAGCATGAAAGAATGAGGGTCAAGACTGTGAAGTCCAAGACAATATTAAAGTTTTGCCAACCTGGTCAGGAACTCTGTGCTATAATTCCTAATGCTGACACTGGTAAAAGAGAGAACTAAGAGTATCCTTCTTCCTCCTACTTGGTCTATTCCCTCTACATTACAGCAATAGTGTGAAAAGTCAGTACTGAAGATCGATAGCTGACTTGCTAAACTATTTCAGGAAGACCTGGTTTATTAATCACAGTTTTCGTAGACTAAGTCAGTTGATCATGTCAATGCATCATAGAGATTCATGTTCTGAGTTCAGGGAGATAATTGTATTACTCTCATTCTTTTTCAAACATTTATTATCTATGAGGTATTTTAATGTATTAAGGGTACAAATATGAACAACACACATGCTTCCAATTTCAAGGAGTTTACAGTCAATTAAGGATACAATAAGGAACAAGCCATCAGAATATACTGCACATATTTAAAGATTTGTATAATATGTACTAGACAGGCAAAGCTAAGAACCTTAGCTTGCCTGGAGAAATTAACTAGAAAAGACCTCATAGGGAAGGCAATTCTTAAATTAAGATTTGAAGAATGAGATGAAATTTTCCAGGTGGCTGAAGGGTATGCCCGGCTGTTTTTAAAAACACCTGCCATTGTATAAGTGGGTGGAAATCTACTTCCTTCTGTATGAAGAATCAATGAACATTTGGGGATTTTAAAAAATTGGAACTTTTTCAGATGTTAAATACAAAATTATTTTCATTCATTTGTTTAAAACCTACCTTAATGTAATGAATGTTCAGTTTCCTGTGCTTCTAGAGTATATCTAGTCTATTGAAGACACCAATTGTTCATATTAGAGGTATGTATACTTAATGATCATTTTGGATTATAGGGAGGAATGTATGAAGTTAAAGGGAGAAGGAGGCAAAAAGGAAGAGTTAGATGAGAAAAAAAGAAAAGTTGGGGGAGGAGTAGTATGTTAAGTAAAAGGATTAAAAAGTGGGAAGAAAAAAACCACTCTAAGTCCAGGAAGTCTGTGTATTTCATACCTAGTTTCCTAGAAGGAGCTGGGCATGAAAATTCTTGGGGACTCATCAGCCTAAAGGGGAAGCACAGCACCAAGTCTTGATGCCAAAGAACCAGTGAATTACACTCTCCCTAATCTGCTTAGTCTTCACACCATAGACAATAGGGTTGAGCATTGGTGGCACCACTACATAAAGATTGGCCAGCAGTATATGGACATGTCGCGGAATGTTATGGCCAAAGCGGTGGGTCAATAAGGTAAAGAATGATGGGACATAAAACATGAGGATGATACAGAGGTGAGACCCACAAGTGCTGAGGGCCTTGTGCCGAGCATCCTGGGAGGGCAAACGAAATACTGCTTGGAGGATCAGTGAGTAAGACACAGCAATGAGAATAACATCGAAAATGACCATGACAATGGGCACTGAGAAGCCATACCAGATGTTAACAGTAATGTCAGCACAGGCTAAGCGGGCCACTCCAATATGCTCACAGTATGAATGGGGGATGATATTGGTTTGACAGAAGGGTAGTCGCTTTAGCAAGAAGATCACTGGGAAGATGATGCAGAAGCTTCGGATGACAATGGCCACAGCAATCCTTCCTACAGCAGGCCATGTTAGCACGGTTGTATATCTCAGAGGGGCACATATGGCCACAAAGCGGTCAAAGGCCATGGCTAACAAGATGGCCGACTCCCCCACAAACATTGTGTGGACAAAGAAGACTTGGGTGACACAGGCATCAAAGGTAATGTCATGAGCATGCAGCCAAAAGATGGCTAGGGCCTTGGGTACAGTAGTGGTTGATAGCAGGATATCAGTGATGGCCAACATAGACAGGAAGAAATACATTGGCTCATGAAGATTACGTTCTGTGATGATGACCACTATCAGCATGCTGTTCCCTAGGAGTGCAGTGATATACATGAGGCAAAGGGGTATTGACAACCAAATGTGATAAGCCTCCAACCCAGGGATGCCAAGTAAGACAAAAACTCCAGGATGGAAGATAGTAAAGTTGGTGTAAGTCATGATAAACATTATKGTTCTTTCTATAGTGGCTTTTGCATCTGCTGAAAGTGACAGAAACAGAAAGTATCCCTGAGTATGTGCAGAGATTAGAAGACATCATGATTTTCTCAACTGCTATACTCTTCAGCAAGTTCTCCTAGAGAATACTCACTGGCATAGGAATGACTTCTGGCCCTTGGTGCTTTATTTGTATATAGAACTTCTATGGCAAATTGTTTCAAGAAACAACAAAGGTTGCACTTTCCTTCTATCACCACATGCCCCATGATGTTGGCCCCATTCTATCTTTTTTTTCTTTCATCCATTTTTCCCTTTCCACATTATTAGTTGTCCCCAAACCATTTTATACTTGTCCCTTTCCCCCAAGATTTTACTCTTTCTGTTTATCTGAATTTCCCTCCCCTTCTATGTCTTTACCCAAATTTTATGCTAAAATACCTCCTCTTAAGATATACCACTTTGTAAAATGTTCATAACAATATATCTCCATCCTGAAGACCTATTAGCTAAACTAAATTTTAACTTGATTATATTTAATCATATTAAGTTTATCTGGCTATTACCTTGAACATTTCATAGAACACTTGCACCTGTGGCTCCGTGTGCATGGAAATGGAGTACCAAGTGAAAATTCAGAAGAAACCTAAGACATATATTTATCTGTTCTGACTGAGTTTCACATCTTCCCTAAAGGCAGCTAGCAACACCAGTGAAACCAAGAGGGCCAATTTTCATGATACTCCTTATGAACATCTCATGGTCTTTCCCAGACAGTTCTATACAAGTGATTCTTGATCTCGTTTCCCATAGAAAACTAAAAGATTCCCAGGGAAACAATTCTGAATAAAGTCAATCAATACACTCTGCTGCCCCGTCCTCTACTGGCTCCATTAACACAGCCTTCCTTCCCATGCACTTCTTCCCTAATCTCCAGAAAGAATCAGGTTTCCCTGCTACTAAAAAGTGTTAATTACAGAGCCCTTCTTGTTTTAGCCTTCCAACCAGGTAATAATTGTTTCCTTCAGAAGCTAACTACCTATCAGTTATTAAGACTACAGAAAGGATTAGTTATTAGACATCTACAAGGAGACATGAAGAAAAGGAGCATAGAGAGAGTATGGAGAGAATCAGAATAAAGGTATCAAATAAATACTAGCTGGTTTCTCTAATAAAGATATTCAGAGAGGCCCAGGGAAGAAGTTATATGAAGGAATGAAAAAAAACCTCAATCTATAAGTCTATCCTCCTGCCTCTGCAAATATACTAAAACATAACTTGCTTTTGGGAGGAAACAATGGTACTTCAGGTGAGTACAAGGAAAGGAGCAGTGCCAGATTACAACAAGTAAAGACCCCAGTAAAGCTAATAATTTGACATCTTCCAAACCAATATATTTTAAATATTTGTTTAACTTCTACTCACAGGATAGGCTGAGGATTCCTGGGATATGCACAGAGAAGGATAAGTGGTAACATTGCTCTGCCTCTATTTTATTAAAGTGTTGATCTCAATTTTTTTTTAAAGAGAGTGAGAGAGGGGGGGAGAGAGAATTTTAATATTTATTTTTTAGTTAACGGCGGACACAACATCTTTGTTTTGTTTTTTGTTTTTTTGTTTTTTTTTTTTTTGTATGTGGTGCTGAGGATCCAACCCGGGCAGCACGCATGCCAGGCAAGCGCGCTACCGCTTGAGCCACATCCCCAGCCCTGATCTCAAATTTATATAAGCAAAATTCCCACCAGAAAACAAATTCAGTTTCCTTAGAAGGAAATTTATTGGATATTTGCCTTCCCACTATCACTCCCAACCCTACTATTTACATATCCCTTCTCAATAAAATAGTAAGGTACCAGATATAGTCCTCATAAGAACAATTCCTGCCTTCTGCTTACAATTCATATATCATATTACCCCAGCAGTGAGAGACACTATATACCCAAGGCAGCATGTTAGAGGGGCAGTGAGTCCTGGATACCATTAATGAAGTTATGAAAAGAAGCCCACTACCTATGGAAAGAATATTCATTTTATTCAGTGGCTTCTGAGGGCTCCATCTCAGCCATGCTGCTTCTCTACCTACACCTTGAAAGGGTTCTTGTTTGAGAAAAAAGGAACCACGCAGGCATAAATAGTCACATCCAAAGGTTTACAGAAAGTATCTACCAAAGCTCTAAGAGAAATTCCAATAGAGTGAGGAAAACAAAGGAGCCAGAATGGTAGAGAAGAGGCCAGGAGCCATAGTGAATGGGAGAGAACACAGCACAGTAGGTGAGAACATTAAGTTCTAGAACCAGGCTTACCCAGTTCATTTTCCAGTTCATTCCTGACTAGTTAGATGATCTTGGGCAAGTCACTTTATTTCTGCATGCCTCCCTTTTTTTTCAAATTCATTTATAAAATGTGGGCAATAATAAACTTCATGAGGTAATTGTGAGGATTAAATGATTCAATATATATATAAGGTCAGAAAAATGGTTATTATTGTTTATTGTTATTATTAAATTGGCCATCATCTTATTGTATTTTTTCCGGTATGCAAAACACCTTAATAACTATTTAGCCACATTAAAGTCCTATTTTTCACTCAAATATGATCAAAGAAAACTCCTTTCCCAGGAGGAAAGAAGAATAAAGGGAATAGAAAAAGTATCCAAAGAGAAAAAAGGAGCCCAATACCAGATCTCTCAGATGGAACTGGTGTCTTGTACTCAGACCCACGGGCTTTGTAGGGAGCACTAGGCAAGTCCACCAGTGATGAACTTAGCTTGGCTCAGAACTACCTAATGGATTTCCTTCAAGTGCTCTAAAAAGCACCCATCTGTCTCAGAAGAAGAAAAGAGAAACTATTTCTATCATTTATAGAAGTCCAAGGGACATCACGAAGTGACAGGAATAGCTTCAGCTCTACAACCAAGTAACTAGAGTGCAAACTACCAGAATCAGTCTAGGCTAAGGAACAATGGAGCCACTTCCTGCAGCCTCTGACTAGATTCTGCTTTCCCTTTTTCTTCCCAGTATCTTCTTTTCTCCCTTTAAGTACCTACCCAGCTCTATTTTTTGGTATTACTCATTTTCTCTTTAGGGAGCTATATAAAGGCTTTTAAAGTCCTCACTCAACCCCAATTTAGAAGACTGTCTATTAAAATTCTCTATTAAGAATAGCAACATATTTAAATGTACCTATCTACAGACCACATCAGATATAAAGGAGTAACTATAAAGGAGTTGAGTTACTTTTTTGCCTATTTTTATTACCTAGTCATCTGTTTATAGAAGTATTAATTTCACTTTGCAATTTCCTTGCATAGGTATTTCAGATCTCAAGAATTTTTCACCACTCAAGTTCTTTACAATGTACAGTCTCTACACTGAAGGCATATACCTAATGGACAAAACAGCTACCTACCCACCTCTGGGCATAAGGATAGTCTCTGTCTGCAGTGCAATAAATGGAAGGATTTGTTTTTATGTCGCAAGAAATTTGTTTCCTTTTATTAAACATTTTCAGTAATATACATTAATTGTACATATTAATGGGGGTCAGTGTTACATACATTTATATACATCACATAATGTGATATTAAAATTTATGAATGGCTTACCTTTTAATATATGAAGAAAATTTATATTTATACTTTAATGACCTCCCTCTTGCTCACAGGCACTTAAAAACATCATATAAGATGCTTTCATAATCTAAAGCAAATGCTTTAGATTTGCTTTAATCTTTTCTATGTTGAAGAGGCACTGAGATTCCCTTACTCCACTGTCATCCCTTTAATAGTGACTCAGGTCTTTTTAATTATTTATTTTTAATTAGCAAATAAAGATTTTATATATTTAAGGTGTACAACATATGTTGATACATGTATAGTACACTGTATGTGGTATGGCTAAATAAAGCTAACTAACGTGTATTGCTTCAGACCCTTATTTTGTGGTGAGAACACCTAAAATCTACTCACAGAAATTTTAAGTATAGAATATATTGATGTACAATGGATCTCTTGAATTTATTTCTGCTGCCTAAATGAAATACTGCTTGTTTTAACCAACATCTCTCCAAACACCTACCTGATCCCAGGCTCCAGTAACCACCATGGCTCATGTTTTTAATGAACAAATGCCTCAAGAAAAATGCCCACCTACACTTTTTTTTTACTCCCAATAAACATTTTAGGGATTTTTTCCAACTTGAGAAATCATATGGTAGTGTGTCATATGTAAACATCATATACTATAATCCATGCATAACCTCTTCCTCACCCAATGTCTGTATTTCTTCTGCAAAATGAAGGACAGAAAATAGAATGAGGAAGATCTTTCAGGTTTAGAAACGCCTTACCCCAGATTACCAAGAAAAATTCTTTCAAGAGTGCTCCTCACTTTGTGACTAAAAATTTCCTAGCACTAAGCAGAGCCCGGCACATTATATATATTTTAAAAAATATTTGATSAAATAATCCATGGAATAAGTGAGTTAATCTTTCTCCAGTAGCTTTCATTGCTTCACCAAATACAAGATAGTGATCAAATTCTGAACCATTTTATGAATAGTTCCCACTGATATTCCCCTTCCCTGGTACAGTGTGATTCTGATGGGTCTATAAACTTCCCTCGAACCTGCAAACAAGCAGTCTTTTCCTCCTCTTCTTCAGGTGCTTTTCCCAGCACCTCTCTATATTCTCATTTTTATTTCTATCAGTGTCTACCTAGTTCCACTTGTGTCTCTCCCAATACCCACACTCCCCACCCCATGGCATGTTATGCTATAATCCTTCTCTCATCCTTTGACCCCTTTCCCCCCCCCCATATCCATTTCCTCTGTCCCAGGCTCAGGCTCTTTCCTTTACATATGCTATTAAATACACACACACAAACACACCCCTTTCTCTCTCCTCTCCCACCAATCTCTTCTGCCACTACAATGCTCTGAAACTTACCTACTACATCACAGTATCATCTGATAGACTGTGAAAGTGGTAAAGAAGAGCTAAAAA